GGAGAGCGATGTGTGGAATTTCTTGTTTGTTAACTCTCCAAACTCAAGAGAAAGTAATAGGTGACTAAACAGATGAGTTTGACTGTTTTTACCCGATAGAGTGAGAATCGATGGAATCTGTGCAACTATCATCGTATTTTTCTCGGTAACCGCATTTTGTAGCCCAGATGTTCCTCTCTCTTCCACATGATTTTGAGCTCATTATCGTTTTAACGCATTCACCTAATTAAGACACAATCAACTGTACGTGAAGGTTTTTTTGTTTCCATTTTTATGCTTCTGAGATAAAAAGAGACGTTTCTTTGAAATACTTGGGACTTTTAGAAACACACGTCTATCGTTTCTCAGGTGTCGATTTTGGTGTTATACCAAATGACAAAATTAGAAAATTAGAAGGCGGAAGTCTATCACATATGTAAAAATCGTCCAGAATTGGTTAGAAATACACACGATTCTACATTGAAGACGTTTTCTTCACTTTTTACATACCAAAAGCTCGCAATCTAATTGTTCAAGGTCATAGAGCCATCAGATACTGAAGGAAGCATTGAGCTTATTAGCTTCTTCGAGATTCCTTACATCGGTCAAAAAATTTTGGAGAATAATGATGGGATTTGACCAGCATATCGATCAAATACGTTGGAAGAATACATGGTTTCTTGAAAAACTACGTCAGTTTAAAGCACAAAATTTCTTTCGAACGAAAATCTTATAGAATAGACGTTCCTCGTCAAGATAAAAGGTCACACCACTTCCAATAGCGCTTGAAGTGCAAGTTATCACGAATATTCACTACTCATTTCTTTGCATGAGTGTATGAGCATAATGTAAACGCTCTCAATAGAAAGGTAACTCGAAAAAATTTGTAGTAGTATAAACGTTGCTAAAGTAGTATAGGTTCACAATACCGACCAATAAATTACTTGTTTTTAGTCGCTACGGATCACTATTCAGTGCCGCAATAGCATAGCGGTGAAACATTTCAAACGGGTGTAAAATCGATTGTGTTTCGAGACAGTGCGAATCGAACAAAAATAGTCTGTGGAGTAGAATTCATAGAAGTATTGTGAAAAAACCGGTTTTTAATAACTTTTCGCTAGTGGACAAAACGACAACATCTCCAGTTTTATCCTGGTGTGGTGCACATACTCCCATCTTCCCGATATTTGTAGCCTTGTCACTTATTAAACTAGTCTGAAATTTATTTTGTATTTAGTTTTTACTGAAGAATGAAGTCTTTACTGTTTCAGCGATCTAATCTGCGATGCACGCACTGTCACCATTATGTATGGCGCTACTGTCATATGTGTGACCACATAATCATAATAAAATAGTCTGATTAAGCTAGAAAAATATAAATCACAATTTTGTTTCCGGTTGTAATTCTCTCGAGATAATCAAAAGAAGCCGACAAACTCTCAAAGGTTTAGACCACTCATCGTCGTATCGACAGAAAATGACTCATTCAATTTTTATAGCTGTCTTCGTTTAGTATGGCTCATTAAATGGTTCTTTATTTTATTTTGACAACGGAGTTTTGTTTCTCGTATATTTGAACCAGTTGTACGTGTCTGGTATGAGAATAAGAGTGTTTTTGCTTATATTCTATCAGAAACTCATAAAAATTCAACTCGTTCATTTTCTTTTAATAGAATACAAACTCATATCAGGAAAAACATTGAATTACTCTTCATTTCAATAATTTAAGTTCACCTGATTTTCACAAATGCTTAGTCATGGAACATTGAGAAAATTCGTCTCTTACAGCATCTTGAGACCAGTCCCTCAACTATAAGTTATCTTGTTTTCATGCGTTTTGTTTCAACTGTATCAACAGTCTATCGCTTCTCTGTTAACAATTTTTATGCTTTTTTGGCTGGCTGAAGGTGAAGAAATCGAAAAAAAGTCATTGGGTCATGAAATTTTAGTATGTTTTTTAATATTATATGTTTCAGGTTAAACAAACGTTTAGAAACGAAAACTAAATGGCTGGTGTTGCATTAGAAATTCCATCGAGCGGATTTACATTCGACAATTGTAGAAGGTAAAACAGAATTATAAACATTTTACAGTTTAAGTCATGTAGTAATAAAGAATAGCCACTTTATAATTTTGACATGGACATATAGTTCAATCACTTAAGAACGTCTTTAGATACTCATAAATTATACTATTTCGTTTTTTTCTAGAAATGAAGTCTTATTAAGTAATGGTGTATTACCTGGTAAAGTACGAAAAACCGGAACAACAATCGCCGCCATGAAATTTAAAGTATGTGGTTCGTTAGAAATGTTGTTTTAAATATAATATTTGCTGTTATTTTTTTCCTTCGCGATCTTTAAACAAGGATGGTGTTGTCATTGCCGTTGATGGTCGTTGTACAGAAGGAAATATTATATTTGATGATAATGTGTTGAAGATACATCGATTATCTGATAATATCTAGTACGTATGGAACGAGCAGTCTCGTTTTTTTTTCTTCACCTTCAATAAGATAACTTACGACAGGACCTCGCCAACTGTTACATCGCTTTTTCAGCCAAACCTAGTGGGTTATAGGTTATCAATTATGCTGAATCCGAATATCATAGTGGGAGCTGCCTAGGAGCCTTCAGAGAGTGGTTTTCTGGAAAACCAGTTTTTCAGAAACTCTAAAAAGTAACCAAAGCCTTTATAATGAGGCATGATTGTAACCCGTAAATTTCTGATTGAAATGAGACATCTTGCACCTCTACATGACCTCTCTTTGCAAAGTTATAGAATTTACAAGAAAAGCCCTAAATTAAGTTCTTATTTCTGTAGCTTTGAGCTGACAATGAACATTTAGGGCTTTTCTTGTAAATTCTATATAACTTTGCAAAGAGAGGTCGTCTGGAACTGGGAGATGTTCGTTTTAATCAGAAATTTGCGGGCTACAATCATGCCTCATCAAAAAGGCTTTGATTGCTTTTTAGGGTCTCTGAAAAAGTGATTTGTCAGAAAAACGCTCTCTGAAGGTTCCTGGGTAGCTCCCACTAGGATATTCGGATTCAGCATAGTTTATAACCTATAATCCACTAGGTTTGGCTGAAAAAGCGATGTAACAGTTCGCCAGGGTCTCGCGTTAGAGAAGAACTTTTGTTGAAAGTAAATTTGAAACATTGTGAGGCTTAATCGCAGCTCTGTCCTTTGTTAGTTATTCTAATTATTTCTAGGAAGATTCCTATTTAAATTGTGTGCTTTTTTTTGTTTAGTGCTCTTGGCGCTGGTACATCAGCTGACTGTGATTTTCAAACACGTATGCTCGAATCACAATTAGAATTATTAAAACTAAATACCGACAGACAAGTTCGTGTGGCAGCTGCTGTTAGAAAAATTCAACAACATTTATTCAGGTTTGTACCTCGTAACAGAATTGAATTATAATCTGGCTCATTTTTTCTTACCAAACTTCATCACAATGTTATTTTTTTTTCTCCAGATATCAAGGTTATATCGGTGCATATTTAATCATTGTTGGTGTTGATACAACTGGAGCACATATAGCCACCATTCATCCACACGGAAGTATTGCATTTCTTCCATTTATTGCATCAGGTTTGTTAAGTTTTTTAACGTAAATATTACTCCTTTTTTCTATTAACACGTATCGATATGTTCTAGGATCTGGTGGATATACCTCATTATCGGTTATTGAAGATCGTTTTAAACAAGATATGTCCGTAAGTTAGTTTTCTTATCATATTTTAGTTCTTTTTCACGTATACTCTGTTAACTAGGACAAATTCAGCATTGTTTAAATTTTTTCCATGTAAAAGTAGAGCAAAACCATATTGGCTTTTTTCCTTTATAGTGAAACTTTCTATAGTTCCTCATTGGCGTGAAAAGAGTGCTAAAAACGGAATTCATCATTTCTTAATCGATGTTTTAGCTAGAATTTTTTTGATTGAAGAACTACAGTGTTTACTACGAATATAACAAATGTGGGAGTATCAGAGTGATCTAACTAATACCTCTCATCATGAATTTTTTGTGTTTATTAGCCATGTGTTTATTTCTTTGCGTATATTTTAGGAGGATGATGCTAAAAAATTGATTCGAGACGCTTTGTATGCGTCGACTACAACTGATTTATTTTCTGGTTCTAAAATCAATATGTTCGTACTGACAAAAGAAAAATTGGAAAAATTTTTACCGTATGAAATTGTTGGCATACGTGGAGACAAGTAAGTTTATTTTCTCTTATGATGGAAAAAATACCTAATGCTTGATGATTAGTTCAGAAAATCTTTTAACGATGTGTGCGTATGTGAGAAAATGATTACTCTGGATTCGGAAACCCCGACATTGACCATGAAGATAGGGTTTTTCCTCTCCTGCAACCAATTACTCTTCATAGAAAGTTGCTATTTCAAGAAATGCTGTTGAATGGTGGGATACTGTTTTCTAATCTGTTTCCATGTACCCTAACTCAATCGATAATTCTTTAGTTAGTGTTCGTTAACTCGATGCGGACAGAGATACAACGCTTTGCTGTGTTATCTATCGTTTTAGACAAGCAGACTATACAATTCCAAAGGGTACAACGGCTATATTAAGTGAAAGCATTCGAAAAATTAATTATGATATTGTTAATGAGAAGGTGAAACAAACAAAATCAACTGAATCGATGGAATTAGCTTAATTTATTTATATTTGCATGAAGAATAATCAATTATCGTTATCATTTAGTCTTGAAAAGACAAGCGTTTTTCTTCCTATTTTTTATTTGTTTGTGCTTCTTTGTTTTTCTTCTTCTGATGTATTTACAAAAAACAAGCCACAGAAATAAACTTGATTTTGTCATGTCTGTTTTAATTTGTGCTAATTATTTTGGCATAAATATGGTAAACGATGCGTGAAAGTATGGGTGACTGAGTGATAAAGATCGTCTGCGAAAAGATGGCACACTAAATTTGTGAAAAAGAAGGTGAGGAAATGTATGTGAAAACGAAAAATTGTAGCTGATAACACTGATCGTTGTGGCGCTCCGACAAAAAGATATCGATGATTAGGGAAACTAGACTGTCTCCCCAACATGGAGAGACATTGTTCTCTCTTGGAACCATAAGAAAACCCAGCGAAAAAGTGGAAGTGGAAATTTCAACCCTTGAAGTATCCTCAAGAGCGCAGCGTGCCACATTTTGTCGAACGCTGACATAAAATCAACAAAAATGACCAGAACGGACCTCTTGCACGCAGCCACTGTCAGTCTTAAATCTTCTACCAGTGAGAGGATCCGTGTCTGAAGTCTCTTTTGGGGCGTGAATCCGGACTGTTCATCCGTGTATATTCCCTACTCCCCGCACCAATTTAGAATTCTCTATGTATAATTCTCTCAAACCACCGTCTGTTGAAGTGAAACCTCGAAATGGTGGTGAATAGGGGTGAAAAGTCGGGTGAACATATTCTCAAACCATTTTTGTTGATATAAACGCCTCTCGTTAAAGTATAAATTCTTCATAAATACATATTTATGCAGGTGTATCTGTTTCCCTACTTTCTTCTCGCTTTATTTTGTCTTTTCGCGAGATTTACAAGAAATGGGGGCCACGATGGACGATATTTTTTGACGGGCGTATATTCACCGACTCTGTCCCACAATGAAGAAAAAAAGGGAATAACTTCCAATTCGTCGTTTTGAAAACATTCTTTTGTGGACAGAGAAGGGAGATTGTATCACGACAGGGTAGTGATCAGATGTCCTTTCGTCTATCATCTCGACTTTCCATCCGGATGCATCATGAGTGATCCCGAAGTCGATTATAGCATCGGATCGTCTTGTAGTAGGCTGATCTGGCGCTATCAGTTTACATCCTGTATTTTCTAACCAATCTCTTAACTGTACGCCGCTGACGTTATTTTTTTTGCACAGCCACTGGAAATGCGTCCGAAAATAAAAAAAGTTTTATTCATATATTTATCAAAAATGTGTCATAGAAAGTTCATTCATGGTAGTAAATATATTACACCGACTTGTATTGGTTTTGGAGTTAAATTTCTTACAATATGTAAAAAGTTTGATTCTTGATGGACGATTTTTGATTTTATTGCCGTATGGATCAGCATTGCAACATCCCCAAAAGAATTTGTACCTTCTTGGCTAATCCAGTAATAGTTATCAAGTTTTGGTAGACTTCCTGTCAGAGAGCCCACACCGGTTAACATGAGAATTTGAGGAATAAGGGTAGACAATAGTATATCGATATCCGTAATAGAGGTATTCAAACATTGACAGTTATACAGAATAAAAGACAGATTTTCATTGTCACAAATAGGTCTGTTTTTATGCCACTGTTTTGAGATGTTAAAGAGAGAAATTCTACTGTTCCATTCGTCGAACATATCCGACAACTCTTTTTTTTCTGTTCTGTTGCCCTCAAACATTTCTAACAGTAAGTCTTTATTTACATTCGGTAAAGAAAAATGAAAATTACTGTTCATTTGTTGTTTGTGCTATTGAACACATACCTTGCAGAAGAAGATCGTTTTGTTGTTTCAACAACGCTTGAATTTTTTGATGATGATCCGTCAACAAGTGGAGACGATCGATGAGTGTGGAGACTGTATTATCTATATTATCTAATGTTTGATCATTTTGTTATTTCTCGGTCACATCAATGACATTGACGTTCATTTTCACGAGCCTGGCTTCGTACTGAGCTTTTTTTAAAAAAGAGGAATTAATGAGGAATCACAAAATCTTGAAAGGAGGAACGTCACTAAAAAAGGAGGATGTAAATCCTCAGCTAAAAACACTAATTTCATATATTAGATGAGCGATGCAGTTGAGCCTTGCTTTAGCTATAAATTAACCGGTGAACCGTTTCCACTTTTGTTATCCAGGTAATCACGGTTGAACTTGGACGCTTTTGGCATAAACATGGTTTTATCTAAAATTGCTTTATATCTACCCATGAGGACTTTTTAAGCAACTGTCGGAAGATATAACTCGATCACGTTTATCGCTATAGAAACCCATACCTTGTTTTTATCTAGATACGGATGAGTTATGATACATCTATGTATATTGTTGATCGCGTTAACTATGCTGTTTAGTTTATCAGAATATATTGGAATAATACTGTATCGGATATTATCTAGATAGAAAAATTATCTGATCCACACTCCACTTGTCACACTCCTATATGTCGTCATGAAAATTATAGCGTGATACGTACTGATGAATATGTGACCGTGATGCACCGTAACAGATTGGTATCGAGATATATCTGGATAGTACTTGGTGTTTGAAAGCATAGCGTTAAAAAATCTGTCATATTCGTTATCACACTGAGATGTATCGGTGAGGTGTCGATATAATGGGATACATCTAAAACCAGCATCGGCGCATATCGCCCTGTAATGTTTATCCCGACATATCGCAGTATGACAACGGATACGATAAGTTTCTTATTGCGGAGAAGACGCTTTTTTTCTATTGGAAAAGTCTTCATGGGTAAAGCTAATTGAAAATGAAAGCAAACAGATTATGCAATATGTTTTGACTTTGTGAGAAGAAAATAGTTCTGTATCACTGTTAACGGAGTTTTTTTATGTGGTCGTCTTTTCTTCAGTGGTTTCTGTTCTGATATCTTTGAAAAATTTTGTTTTACAAAATTGAGAAAGAAAAAAAGATACCAAATGAAAATACAAGTTAAAATAATTATTGATGAGACGATGATAGGACGATAGATAACAGAGATCTAGAAAAGGGAAAAATGCACATACCAAATAGAGAACTACTGATGACTCGCCATGCAATAATAAGAATTTCTATTGACCACAAAAATACTTGTAGTGCAATAAGGATCGAGGTCACATTGTAACTATCACTACAAGAACAGACGGTACTATGTTCGTGGCAAATATAAGCAAAAATCACCTATGGGGAAAATCTAAATACATTTTGTCTGTAATCGGGTGATGCACAACTAGTTATCATCTAGATTACTAGTTGGAAAAGGGACTTTTAATTAGATGCGTCTGCATGTGTAACTAGCAATAGTTAAGTCGATCGATTATCGGGCGATAAATTGATAGTTGCAACTAGAAGAAACCTAGTAATCGTCCAATGACTAGATTTCCACGGTCGTTACCCAATAGTTGTAATCGAGTAAAAATCTAGTAATCTAGATGAATTGAGCGACACTAGATTTTTTTTTGATGCTTGGGAAGCAATGTATGATAACTAAGGCCTTAAGAAGGCTGTTTGATCAAACGCTATTCGAAAACTAGCCAGCTTTGTCCAAAAAGGAGGAGAAAATTTTATTTAGGAGGAATGAGGAGGAAAGGAGGACGAGTACAATGCTAGTCACGAGCATTCCGCCGAATATTTAGATCGATTGTATGATCGGTGGAATGACTTCACACGTAATATATACATCCGCTACTGCTTCGGTTTGTGTTTTTATTTGGTGAATGAGTAATTTCCATGTGTCTGTCATATTTCTTGTTTGTAAATCACAATTTTCTTTTATTTTCTTCATTTCAGTGTCGTATTCTTGTTTTATTTTTACAAATTCGTTTGTATTTTCTTGATTTTTAATCCAAATGTTGATGGGGCTGTTTTGTGTGGTAATGATGAATTTAGATTTAACACCGAACACACATTTTGGTCTTTTTTGTTAAAATCTGGTTGGCTCTTTTGATTATACTGGGTATACTCCGTCGTCTTGTTCTCCAATATCTTTTTTCCTTTTTGTTCTCGATATTGCTGAGGGATGAAAAATTAAACATTCGGTGGTAATATACTTGGATTGTTTTTCAATTTGATTAACAATTCTTGACGGTAATTATTGATTACCTGACATTTATAGTTTGTTGATTCGTGGTCTTCCCCAATGCTGGCATTTTATTTCACATGCTTAGAAGCAAGCATTAACTTTCCACGCAATATCGGCGCAGTACCATCTGTGTCTACCGCACAATATTACTTGACAAATCCATGTGTTATTAAGAGTATCTCAGTTAGAAAACGGGAATTTTGTCATAAATCCTTATTTCCAACTAAAATATTCTTAATTCAGATATTGTATCTCAGTTAGGAACTGAATATTTATTTAAGAAATCTCAAATTCGAACGGAGATATAACTGGGATAGTTCCCCAGATGGGATATAGTATCTTAATTATGAATATAATTGGTATCTCAGTTGGGTCGTGGCCAAGACAGATTTATCAAAAGTGAGAGAAAAGTGTCATCTCCTATCCAAAAGCTCAAATCTTTAAACTTTTCCATGTTGCGATATAGCCGTTTCAGGCACGTAATCGTGAATGACTCTTTGAAATCTAAATATTTTTCCAATTCAATCTCGATTTTAAAAAGGTTCTAGCACTTATGTTTATGAATATGAGCTTTTCTATCCTTTTCAAGCAACTTCTTCAGAACAGAGCTGGAATTACAGAATTTCCTCTTCAAACCTCGAAATCTGCCCCTATTATAGTCCGTCAATTTTGATCAAAATGTAACATTCTCAAACTTTGTATGAGCTTCTTTTCTTAAAGAGCAGTGATGTTTACAAAATTGAGGTAACGACGACTTTTTCACTGGAAAAAAATGAAACAGTGTTGACTTTCTGCTCTATTTTACATTAATTTTTTGTAAACATCATACCCAGTGAAAAAAAATGAGCGTGATTCCGCA